GGCCGCTCGGCGCGCGGTGGCGGCTGGTGGCGAGGAAAAAATGGGCCATTGCCCGAGCGATCAGTCCATATAAGGCTGGGCTCCACTCACGAACCTGGGGAGGGGGGGAGAGGGGGAGAAAGAGAGGGAGGGAGGGAAAGAAAGAGGGAGGGAGGGGGAGGGAGAGAGGGAGCGGGAGAAGGGTGGAAAAAAGGGGGAAGAGACATTAAAAACGCAAAGGTTGGCCACGTGTGGGCGGGTCTTGGGAGTCAAGTGGATGAAGACAGTATTTGCAGATGTGAAATTGTGGGTTTTGGGGAGCTCCGCGCTCCCAGCCAACGGCCCTCTAGAGCAAGATGAGAGGTGTAACGTGTCAATTAATTGCAAAGACGGGGCGAGCCTTTTTTTTTTTTTTTAAACCCAGTATTTACATACAAAGGGCCACCGCGTCGCTCGCGAGTCCACACACTTGAAAGGGCCGTTTTAACAAATTGCATCTTAAAAAAGGTGGGGGTGGGGAGGAGGAGGAGAGAAAACAAAACAGAAACCAGGAGGAGGGAAAAATCCTCTTTAACATTCACCGGTTCCTACCTCCCCGCCCCCGCGCACCCACCCCCAGCAAGCCGGAAAATTGGCGATTTGTGGCTCCTTTGGAAAAGGGGGAGGGGGCGAAGGCCGAGCTGCGGAAATCTCTCCTTTCCATCGCTGGTGGTTCCCTAAACAAGATCCGGTTCAAATGGCAAGAGCCCAACTTCTGTAAGCCTCCTAGGTCAATATTTTGGTTGAGGCTTAAGGATGAGTGCTAGAAATGACAAGGCAAGTAATTGATTCCAGTTAACCGCGAGAGAGCCCGAAACCCAGGAGAGAGCTCCGCTCCGGGCGGGCCAGAGCCACCATCAAGCGACCCGCCCCCTTCCAGCCGCCCTTTATTTGCTAAAGACTCATTTATTTCCTTCACTCCGCCTCCCCCTACCTCCCACCCCTAACCCCCCGCCTCCACCTCTTTGCGGCCAAGGAGGACGCGCAGTTCACTTTCTGCTTTGCGGGCGGTCCCGGGGAGGGCGGGGTAAGAGTGAGGAGCTAACTTCGGCTGGGGTCGGACCCTGGCCCCGCTGCCTCTGGGCTCTGCGGGCCTCTTTCCCCGGGTGGAGGAAAGGGCAGACGGCCCTGCTCTTTCCTGCCCTCTATTATCCCTCCCTCTCCGGTCCCCTCCCTCTCCAGCCTCCGGCTAGAGGTGGAGCAGCGGGAAGGCGGCTGGGCGGGATTGCGGAGGTGGGGGTGGGGGTTGTGTCTCCAGCCTGGGTGAGGACCCAGAAAGCTGCGGGGGAGGGGGGGTTGCTGGGTGGCCCGACGATGCTGCGTTTTCTCCCCCGTTTTCTTCTCCCACGCGAGTTCTTTAGTGTGGTCTCCTTTTGGATGCCCTGGGCGCGTTCGGAGTACGCGCTCCACGTTTCCAGGTTAAGTCAGGTTAGTGTGAAGTTTCCAACCACTCTCCGCTCTGGGAACTGAACTTTCCCGGGACTTGCACCTCCTCCTTGGCGCTGGGGTTGGAAAAGACCAAGCCGCACTTATAGTTAAAAATTTTTGGGGGGGAGGTGCGGGGAGGTAGAATGGCTACCTGATGCTCGTTCGCCCCAGACGAGTGTCAGGAAGGAGCTTTGTCTGGGGGCAGGGAGGAGCACAGAAGGCCGCCCCTGCGGGGTCCAGGTCTAGTCTTCCCACAACCTGGGCTGCCTGGGCTCGGGTCGAGCTGAGCGCGCGGGCGCCGAGTCCTCCTTGGGCGCAGCTGCCGCGGCCGCCGCCGCGCCCCGGCTGCCCCCGGGTTGCCAGCGCCGGGTGAGGGCACCTCTCCCTTAGCCGCTCGGCGGCTTTCTGCAGCCCTCGCTGCCTCGTCCCCAGTATGTGACGTGGGTGACAATGGCCCAGGTTAGAGCGAGCCCCTCGTCGGCACGTCCTGGGTGGTCGGACCCGGGCAAACACAAATACAAACCGATTGCTAAGCTGCGGACAATGAGCGAAATGTAGACAAATGTCCCGCTCCCGTTGGAAGCCTTTGTCCCAGCTCGGTTTTTGCATTTATTTCAGTGGCGAAATAATACATGATTGACGCTCTCTTTCAATGTGTCCTAACTGTTTGGAATAAATCTAAGGTTGTTCCTAGTTGTCATGGCATTCAACCCTTTTCAATGGACTATCTCTTCATTCATTTCTGAATCCGTCCACAATATTAAGGAAACCCCTTCATGTCGACGCTCCCCGATTCCTCTTTCTCCTCCTACTTTTTCTTTTCTCCTTTCTCCCCCTCCTTACCCCCTTTTTTTCTCCTGGAAGAATTAGAAACTGATGCGTGTTCCTCGAACCTATTACTTTTCGTGCTTTTTTTTTTTCTCGCTTTCCATCTCTGTCTTTCTCAGGCCTTCCCACCCGCCCCTTTCACGTGGGAGCTCGTCGCTCTGCCCCGTCGGAGGAGGGAAGTTGGTTCTCCAGGAGTCGGGAAGCGCCGAGTTTGGATCTAGGGGCGGGGGTGGGCCTGCCACTGCTATTGTTGCTCAGTTGCTAAATAAATAACTGGTGAGAAAAAAAGTTTCTCATCCCAAGCGTTGCAGCAAAGACCCTCCTTTTGTTCCTCCTCTTATTCCTCAGTCCTAAGGGGGTGGAGGCTCTCTTGGGGACCAGGGCAGCCACTAGGATGGGGGCCCAGAATAGGGCCTGGTTGGGCCAGGCAAATTCTTGGGTCGGGTGGCAAAGGGGTCTTTGGCAGCAAGTGTCGTTTCTCGCATATCCCCAGAGCCATCTTAGGCGGGGGAGTGCCCGCAGAGGCCTCCCAAAGCGTGTTCATTTCTTCAGCTGGGAGCCACCTCGCTGAAGTTCCATGTAGTTCCCAACTTCTCTCCCCTTGCCCCAGCATAGTGGGCCTTTCTTCCCAGGATCTAAATCAGCACCGCTGCTACTGATCAAGTCTCCTACCCTCACCCGTGGGAGCCTGCAAGGTCCCCAGAGCACCTGAGAGAGGATTGCTTTCCTAGGGGAATCCTGGCTCCTGGAATTAATCATGGGGAAGGGGTGCCGCCATAGGCGCCTAGAGAAGGAGGCCCTCAGCCCAGTTCTCAAAGGCCGGGTTTGCCCTTGCGCTTGCCCCTTAGCCTCAATGACCAGCCGAATCCTTCTGGGTCTCAGCTTGAGGTGTCCTCTTGCCGGAGCACCGGAGACGCCCTCTTCCCCTGCCCTTGCAGGCCGCCGGCCCCTCCTACACTCTCACCCCAGCGACTCTTCCAGTTTTTCTTTCCCCTGGCCTGGGGCAGTTGGGCAGGGAGGGAGAGAACTGGAGAGAGCTTCGGCCTTGCCTCCTCCGAGATCGGTGCTGCCGGGTCCACAGCACTCAGCCTCTCCCGGGACCTCGAGACTCCATTTCCCCATCACTTTTTCGCCCGTGTGGTTCCAGCGTCCGTTTCCAGAGCGTTAACATTTGCAATTGAAAAGGCGCAGGGAGACCGCTGGGAGGCCCGTAATTGGAGGGGAGAAACTGGGCTTGTTAGTGGAAGATCATAAAATGCAAGTCCCCCAGGAGCGGCCTGTGGACGCCGGGAGGCCTGCGCAGACCCAGCTGGCGGCCAGGGCAAGTCCTGTACCCAGAATGCAGTCCAATGTCTCCTCAATTTCTTGGGCCCGGCTTGAGCCCAAAGGGCCTAGGGGCCAGGGGCCAAAAGCACCTTTTCTGCCCCAGTTAAACAGGTGATTGCATCCTGAGGACTCCCCAAGAGGCCTCCCCGCGAGTACCACAGCTCGGCCTTTTAGAGCCCGGGAGCTTCTGTTCCCTGCGATCCCGCACACCCCGAAGGCTGAGAGGCCCTGCCCCACTCGCTTCACCCTCCTGAGAGTTCTTCAGTAACGGCCCACCACCCCTACCCTGTCAGCGTCTGCCTGCACCAGTTTCAGCTCCACTTGGATGACCTCTCGTCTCCCCCACTCTGCATTCTTTAGTAAATTCTTTCCAGGTACCATCTTGCACCCAAGCGAGTTCAATGTCCTCCAATCCGTCAAGTTTGGGTTTGAGCTTTGGGCTCAGCTGCCGTGGTCTGGCGACCTGGTAGGTACTCTGCAAGATGCCTCGTTCTGCTGCGTGCTTGGGGAGGAAGTCGAGGCGGGTGCTGGAAGTTCTGAACCCAGCTTGCCCCGGGTCGGAGGAGATTTGCTTGGCGTCTCCTTAGCGTCCAGAACACCGCACACCCCTGCTGGGGTCACCTGAAAAACTGGATCCTCCAACTCCATCTTTATTATCTGCATTGGGGCTCCAGGTTCCGTACACATCTCTAACTCTATTCATTCTTTCTAGATTGAGAACGGATGCATTGGGAGTCCTAGGCCCGGGAGAAAGGCAAGAGAGGGGAGGAAGAGAACCTGTGCCCCTGGACCCTAGAGGAAAGCCTCTCTCGCTCTGCTGCTCTGGGTTCCGCAACAAATTGAGTTCGGGCTCAGGCGTCTGAAGCAGGCGCGGGGAGGCTGAACAATCGCCGGAGGCCCGGGAGGGGAGGCAAATGTACACAGGCTAAGTGGCCCCACTCCAGGACAAGTGGCCCTCTAAGTCGGCCCAGTGTTTACCTGTTTACTTTCCCAGG